TGTCTTCCTGAGGAACTTATGTAGGAAATAGGTGGCCTTCACACATTAAACATTATTCCCATCAGATAAGATGTGTCACTGGACTATAATGACCATTCACTACTGAAAATACACTTTAGCGCTGCACTGAACTGAACATAGTCCTGAACTTAGTCCAGGATTAAAGTTGATCTGTGTTCTGGAATCGACCTCTAAAGCTGTTTTACTCAAAGTAAAGAAAATAGTCTGTAGAGGTAAAACATTTACAGAAATGAGAGAAAAACATGATGTTTCATTGTGTTCTCTCTCCTCAGCCCCTGTTACTCTGGACCCCAACACTGCACATCCAGACCTCCACCTGTCTGATGATCTCACTGCTGTAGAAAACACATACATGGAAACATCACTTCCTGATAATCCAGAGAGATTTGATGAGTACGAATGTGTTCTGGGTTGTGAAGGTTTTAACTCAGGGACACACTGCTGGGACGTCCAGGTTGGAGAGAGTGATCGCTGGTTTCTGGGTGTGATACCAGAGTCTGGAACAAGAAAAGGAGAATCTTTCAATGATTCACTGTGGAATCTTGGCTATAATAAAAGTAGTGATGAATACTGGATACACTGTCCAGGACAGCCAGATCTTTATCTTACACTTAAAGAAAGGCTCAAGAGGGTCAGAGTGCAGCTGGACTGGACAGGGGGGAAGTGACCTTCACTGATCTTCTAACCAACACACACCTGCACACTATAACACACACTTTCACTGAGAGAGTTTTACCATTATTGCGAAATTGGTCTGTTCATCCTCTGAGGATCTTACCAGTGAAGACGTCAGTAACAGTGGAACAGCACAGTTAAAGTTGATGCTGCTTAGAATGAACATTTATACAGGTAGTGAGTGTCTGAATTATGATCATAAGAATATGTCACTACATGTATATTTTAAATAATGTGTTTGTACCATTCCATCCTAACATGTCTGTGTGGAAATAAATTGCTGATTTAAAGTGTCATAGAGTGACTCCTGATATAATTTCAACATTAGAAACGTTATTTGAGTGAGATTTCACTCATTTTCAGTGTAGATTTTATTTCTCTATCATCCTGCATTTTTCTCCATCATTGGATCTTTAAAACTCTTAATAGTTTACTGTGTGAAATAAACTGCATTATATTATAAACTGAATGCATGTTGTGTATTGAATATTATCCCACAGCATCGTGTAAAGATCATCCAGCAGATAAAATGAGAGATCTATCTAAAGTAGTGACCCTCACAGACCCACATGAGCTCTCAGCCTAAGCCTTGATTTTTGTACGACATGGCTGAGGCCGACTACAGCTTATAGTAAAGCAACAAACAGCTCTTGTGCAGAAACTTTTCATAGCGGTGAATGCTACAATATACTGTTCCAACTGTCACAGGGCACACTGCCTCCCAGGCATGGCTATGCAGATGGCCACACATAAAGGCTCATAGGAGTCGTGTGGTCCCCATTACAAACGGATATTTTACATTGTTTTTTCATTTATTGTATTTGTTTTATTTTGTTTTGTAGTTGTCATTTTTTGGTTTAACTGTGTGTGTGTGTGTGTTTTCTGCTAGTGTTTATATGTCAATCAGTGTGTTATTTTGGTGCGGGTTCTTGGTCACTGTCAGCAGATATTTTAGGGTTAGATGTTACCTTCCATCACTTTCACACTGACGTAATGTGCCTTTTCTAATAAAAAGAGCTTCCTGAGCTGAATGATGGGATCCCTGATTCTTCTTCTTCTCCCCGATGCCAAAATATTTCACCTTGTAGCAGTTTCACAGTGACTCTTTCAGTAGTGAGCTCTGGTATAGAGCTGCTGCCCCGTTTTCAGTTTCTAACAACTCACTTTTCTCATTAAATTGGTCCCACAAAATAGAAATCAAAATGCAATTGGTTGATTTCTCTGTCAATTTGTGATTATGCTGATAGTTAATCTAATGTGTTAAGATTCTCCTCCGCATTTGAAGTTGGAACCAGCAGGAGAGCTTGCTTAGCTATATCTACCTAGATACCATAGAGAATTTCCTGATCGGCCAATTTTTGGCATTTCAAGACTTCAACCTTTTTGTTTCCATTCTATACTTAAAAATAAAACAGGAGTAGCATTGTAATACTTGCAGGGTTTAAATACAAGCATGGATTTATTGAATAAAAATAAATAAAACAGAGATTTGCATTTTTTAGTTTCTAGAAATCATTAGTCTGTCTCTGAAGGCCTTGAACTCTGTGTTTGGGCTGGTGTCTGCTGATCCCTGCACAAACTCCTCATCAGTTCTAAACATTACACACCCGCCCTGCACTGAGACCCGCTCGACGGTTGAGGTGTAGCCCAGGAAGGGATTCCGGATCCTGGCTTGCTTCTTAAGGCTGTAGCTTACAGCGAGGCGTCTCTTCGGGTCAATCTGCCTGCAGATTGAGGTGTGGCTTGAAGGGAATCTCAGGCTTGCCGTCACGAGTTGTCTTGACTCAAGGTGGCTTTGGTGGATGCAGTCAAATTTCGAGACTACTAACCTAAACAACTACTTATCTTCTCTGAACTCTGAAACTTGAAGAAATTCCTTACTTGGCCACGTAAAGAAATCTTCCCTTTCCTCTCTAAGGTTGGGTTAAACTTACAGGTACAACCAAAGACAACTACACAGACGTTCAGATCTGATCTAAGCGTTCTAAATTCTAATCTTTCTAACCGTGGTTGGCGCAGACTTCGCAATTTCTACTTCTCTGGAACGCGAGCTCAAACTCACTGGAACTGAACTACGCGCCGGTTTTGCGCGACTGTTGGCCCTTCCCTCCAGGGGTGGAGCACAGGTGTTGATAGGTTCTCTCACCTAACGGGTAATTAGCTATTCCTAATTCTTGGTCCTGATTGGTGGGGGTTTCTCTGTCCTACCAGGGAACTCCCTCCTTTGTTCCTTCTAGGTTTCGATTAAACAAAACAGTTTTCAGATCAATTAGGTTACTAAAATCCATAACCTACAAACCTAACATTTAGGTATCTACGTGCAGTTTCTACCCACATTATGTGAGAACAACTATGGCAAAGGCAGAAACAATCCTATAGATAATCCTTGGGTGTCTTTTCATTGCAGGAACTTTCAACACAGTAAAATCATTACTTCAAATGACTAAATCAAGCAAATGAGAAGAGTAAAAATAGAAGACTAAATAAAATAAGTGTAAAGAAAACCTAGGTGCATACTCAGTGTTCTAAAATCACTACTTTAAATGGTTATTTCGGTAACTTTCAGACAGTTATCCCACATATTCCTAACGTCTGGTAAAAGAAAGGATGAATACACACTAAGTAACTGAGTATATAAATACAAGCATCATCACTCGTGAATTAGATAAGGTTGATAGTCAGACATGCATATCCATGAGTTTTCCTGGGGTCCTTTGTGAGTAACAGTCCTTAGGTGGTGGCGCGGTAATTCTCGTTTTTCACCCCTTGGGGGTGCTGTGGGTCCATGCTTGAGATCCTCAGGGAATTTAGGAAATTTAAATTTTCAGTCCAGGTTGTCGTATCAGTTCCGTTCTTGGTATGTCTAGTTTAGTTGAAAAGAGTTCTAACGAATGGTTACGGTTTGGATTGGATGTATATATTAGAAATGTACTTTCCGTTACTTCGAGTTGTCCACAGGATTTTGGAGAGCTATGCAGCTGCATTCCAGTGAAGGGTCCTGTTGCCCCCTAGGTCGAGGGAGAAGGCTCTTGATTCAGCCGTAAATTAGACAGAGTTTGGGGTTGGGGGTGTTAAGCCGACAGATTTACACCTTCACTTCCAGACTCGCTGGAGCCAAAAGACTCTTAGCTTTTGGTTGTTGATGAGTTTAAGTAAACACTCAACTTGAAGTAAGGTTTCAGCCAGTGTTCGCTACATACTATAGTCAAAAATGAAAAACAATTTATTTTCTCTCTTGATGAAATGATCTAATCTGAAAGTCTGTGATCTGATTCATTCTGAAACTTCATCCGTATCAGAACTCTTGGGGGTGTTTTGGCACAGAATCCTTTTGTGGTCAGCTGATCTAATTTTTTTCTCATTGGATCATAGTGATCTGTATGTTATCTATATGCCTATATGATTTATACATTGTACAAGAAAAGTAGATACAAAATACATTATTAAGGAAATATTTATTATACAGAAAACAACAATTTGATTTTTGCTGGAATTTTTTTTTTTTTCTTATAAAGTAGAAATGCAAACTTAGATGTCCCCCAGACTGAGGACAAAAAGCCCCCTTTAGCATATTAACCCAAAAAAATGTATTTACTTAAATTCATAAAGTTATTTACTGGCTAGCTAAAATTAGCATTACATGCTAGCTCTAGTGATCGTTACCGAGAATTAGGAAACATTTAGAGCTGAAGATGAGTTTGTACATCCTCACATGATCTGTTCTGTCATGACTAAAAACCAAATACACTCAATTAAATGACAAACATGGGAACGATATTAAATGCTACATTTTGTTGAAATTGCAATAATAATAATAATAATAATAATAATAAAAAATAATAGTGACTTCACCGTATATCACTATGTAATTAATATATTCACAAGAATTACAAAGGAGATATTTCAAGTGTTTCTTTTTGATCATTTTAGCATAAATTTGCATCTGAAACAAGTTCATTAAAAAAACAATATTTTTAGTGTTGTAATTGGATTAATAATTAATTTTCAAAAACTAGAAATGATCGGATATAAAATTTATTCTTAAATGTAAAAAAAAAAAATAACCATCATCTTTTTAATTTGATTTACTTCTGTCTAAACACTGTTTCTTCTTTCTTTCACTAAAGTATATTTTAGCTCCACACTTCACATTTTGTCTGAGTGAGATTTCTGCACAGTACAGTATTCATACCTTCACTTAAGTACAGTTTCAGTGTCCTTTTTACACCCTGAATAAAGAGAACATGATAACATGTTACTAATAGTTTATAAACAGTGTCTCATCAGTGCAGAAGCAGACTGTGTGTGAGAGATCAACCTTAAGAGAAACAGAACTTACTGTACTGGAGAATCTCCTGCATGTTCTCCCACACTCTGAACTTCAGGTTGGAAAGGTGTTTCACTACATTGATCAGAGCTCCTGATGTCTTCTCTGGATCCTTTGGTTTGAGCTGAGCTCTGAAAATAGAAGACTGTGTGAAATATATCACTGTAAAAACTTTACAGCCTGTAATTTATTTGACTAAATATCAATATTTTATGACATTTGTTGTCTGGAGTCAATAATTCTGATGTTTCTGTTAAATAAATATTTCTGCTACTGTTCTCATCACTACAACATTAACACACAATCCTTATTCACCTTCATTTCATTATAATACACTCATATTTACAATAAATACAATATACTGTAGATTTAAATGTAATAATGACTTTAACATTAGATAAAATGTGTGATCTGACATTTACTCACTGTTTCTCTGTAGACTTGAAGTTCTGAGAGGAGAAATAATGATAAAATTATGAGACTTTTCAGGTATAGTTCATATGAAATTTTGGGAAAAAATAATGTCTCTCGACCGCACTGTTTAAACACAGCAAACGCTGACAATCCCACAGTGTTGAAGAGAAGAATGTAAGTCAGAGAGAGAGAGAGAGAGAGAGAGTAAAGTAAGTCTTACCTGTAAGAACAGAACATCCTCAGCTTCCATTTCCTTCTCTATGTTTCTGATTGTGTCTGAAAGAGATGATATTTCTCCATTCATCTCCTCAATCTTCCTCCTCATCATCTGACTCTTCTGCTCCTCTTCCTCCTTCAGTGCAGCTATCCTTGCTGCTTCTTCATCTCTTAGAAACTGGTGAAGCTTCTCAAACTCCTCCTTTATCTGCCTCTCTGTGTGCTGGGCCTGCGTCTGGAATGAGAGACCATTAGGAAACACAAACTCTAACAGATGATCTACAAGCATTTACCACCTACAGGAGAAGTGGACACTCATCAGAAACATGACCTCAGCAACATGTTTCACAATTCAAGATGATGTTTCACCTTAATGTGAGCTGCTGTTTGGTCATAGTCTTGTTTAGCTTCCTCTAAGACTCTAAGATTCTTCTGTAGAGGCTCCAAAGCAGACTTGAGTTTATCCTACAACTAAACAACAGTTTAGCTGAGAGCGTTCTCCACACTAATGGACTACTGAATAGGCTGGTGGCACTTGAAGGCTAGATTGTGAGGTACAACTCTTACATTCTTTGTAACAAGTAATTTCATCAGGCCATACAGCAAAGAACTAAGTCTGGACCTCAAACAGAATGTACTATATTTTACAGTGCATAGTGTAACTGTACAGAAGGAAATGTCAGCTTTACTGTCTCTCCCAAAAGGCCTTTTCATTAATTTCACAGAGAATTACGTTTCACAGTGAATAAAACAACAGACAGTTATTCTAATCTGATCACCATGATGAATCTCTGATTAACTCTTCCTGCGTCACTTCTCTCTGAAAGTCCACTCACTGACACACCAACCTGTCTAACATGCATAACTGGAAAATCTGGAACTGAGAAAAAAGAAAATACCACAGACTTCAGTGTTAAGAAAATAAAGTTGTACACCAAGTTTCCTACCTTAAAGTCAGTCACAGCTTCATCTGTTGGACACAATTTGTGATTTTCATGGTTCTTTGAAGTCTGACACTCACACACACACAGACTGCTGATCATCCAGACAGAAGAGTTTGAGTTTCTCATTGTGCAGACTGCAGAGCACCTCAGACCCTGCTGAAGATCTCTGACTCCTGCTCTCTAGAAAAGACTCACAACTTTTAGATTCCATTTTCTCCACCAGCTGGTGTCCACCGTCTCTTTCAGTTTATGGATGTCTGTACTGAACACAGCAGCAGTGTTCAGAATCACTCACTGTAGTCCTTCATCTCACTGTCTCCAGAAAGATGGTTCATAAAGTCAGAGTCGTTAGAGCTTTTATCAATGTCTCTCGGTCAGGGTGAGAGAGAAAGAGTGAGGATCAGTATGAGGTTCAGTTTCCTCCCGCAGGTAGTCGGTGCAGGAGAGGAGGAGCTTTGAAAGGGAGGAGCTGAACAGGTGCAGAATTTTCCTTTTTTGTCTACTGACTCAATCTTGGCTGCTGGCTGCTCATGTAAAGATCTGTGGCTCAGCCCAGGTCCTTATTGGATTATTTTATCCTCTCACAGATTATTTTAATAAACCTGTAAAAATGTGCACTTAATATTTTTTTATTTAGCAAAAAATTCAACATTATGGAAAACAAACCTATATGTAATTAAGTAAGTAAAGCTCATTTATATAGCACTTATAGTGCTTTACAGAGACACAATATAAAAGATTACAGTCACAAACAAAATACACATGATGTGCAGACAAATT